TCTCTCTCTCTCTCTCTCTCTCTCTCTCTCTCTCTCTCTCTTTCATACACATTCTCTCTCGCTCTCAGACATTTTTGCGATCAGTCTGGCACTCGACAAAGAAAGAACGTCGTGACATCGTTTCGACCAACGCTTGAGCCACACTCTACAGTGTTTCCGATTCCCGCGAATAATTTCCTTAATTCGGATAAGAGAAGTCCCGGCGTCGCATGGGGCGTCGCGACGCCGCGCGCCGTTTTCCCGTATATTCGTTTCTATTCACCGTCGATCGACTCGAGGGGAGTGTAAAACGCTCGTGGTTTTAATTACGCGAGTTTGGCAAGTCGGGCAAAGTTGTACTACTTAGAACGCAATATCGTCGACGTTGTGTCTCGTCGTCTTCGCTTCTCACGTGTGTGTGTTAGTGTGTGTGTTTTTTTTGCCTTCTCAAATTATATATATAATATCTATATATATATATATATATATATAACCTATGTATGTATATATGTATACGTGTAGACCTAGTCGATATTATTAAATTCAATATAATACATCTATAATAATGGTAAGAATAGAGCGAGTAAATCGTTTTGGATGGACAGGAGGGGATAAGGGGGGTCTCGATGAAGGGGTTCCACGGTTTCAGGAATGATGGGAGGGGAGGGGTGGGGATGAGAATCGGTGAATGGGGGTGAGTGGTGGAGTACGAGGAAGCGTTTATGAACGATACATGATATGAATTACGCCGCGGTTATTTGGAATAATAATCTATAACAATGTAGATGCCATAGGTAGCTTAAAAGGTAAGCCGAGAGAAAGCTTCGTATGTGGACGGCGCCCGCACAGTTTCCTTTTACTCTAAAAAAACGTCCGTCGATCCTCTCCGACCGGCGCCCGACCGATCCGGGGACACCGCGGGCCCCTCCTCGATCGCTTCGGATTCGAGAACGAGGAGCCAGCGCTCCCCACGAGAAACTTAACAGGGGACGATGGAGATTGCAACTAGGAAAAGCAACGAGAACGAGAGACAGGAGGGGCGCCCCGGTCTCCGAATCGTCGGGCACCCGACAATCTTCCCCGAAGAAAAGGTCCACGCTCGGCCACTTCCGACCCTCTCCTTCCGCTTCTTTTCATCGTCTACGCTCCTTTCTCCTCGCTCGATTCGACTCGATTCGACTCGACTCGAAACGTGGTCACTAACCGTTAAACACCTTAATGGATACGTACGTATATAACACGGCCGCTACGAGTCTCGCCGCTCGCGAGCAACTGTACAAACCACCCTCTAAATCCTTAATCCTCGATAATTAATCGGTAGTCTTCGTTACGTATATCCCTAATTTGTCGGACGCATCGGTGCCGCCCGTTCCACGGCCTCTGTCCGCCAATGAGAATTCGCCAATCGACCTTCGACTATCTTTCTCGCACCCAGCGCGACTTCGCAACCGAGATCCGGAGGATTTTCGTCGCGGAACGAACGATCTATCGTTCAGAATTTCAGATTTAGTCCCTTTCGTTCGCGTCGCGCTTTAACTATAACGGAAGAAACGGTGCTATTTTAATATCAACCTGCGGATTTCGTATTTTAATTACAGACAAAATATGGAGCAATGAGAACATTGAAGAGCGTCGGTGGATTGTTTCCAGCCGAGAGATTGATAATTAAAGAAATGTTTATTCTTGCAATTCATAAAGAAACCTTTATTTAGCATAAATGGTCCACAGTCTATTTACTGTTACAAGACGCTCGTCTACGCAGGTTTATGACGTTTCTCGGGCCATTTTCAAGGGTCCCGATAGCTTTTCTTTCCCGAACGCGTTCCTGTCGTTCGGACATCGACGGGGATAAATTTGTGGAAGTGATCGGAGCACCAGAAATAATCGGATCGCGTCGCGTTCATCATCCCCTGGAAATTCGATGACTGAGATCGCTCGGAGCGGACGCGACCATCTTCGCGATTTTCCGTCCTGTCCCTGCTTGCCGCGCTTTCTTTCGTCCTCCCCGGTTCGTGTCCGATTATACGCCGCGGATTTTCTACCCCTCCGGTCAGCTCGAAGAAGATATAGCTGCTTGCGTCACCGGAAGCCGCAACGATACTGGCCCTCGGGCCCCGAAGACGAAGAAAGAAGCACGCGAGCGTGACATGTTCACGCGAGGCGAAACGAACATTGCGCGATGCTTTCGAAGAAATGAGAAAGCCGTCGGTGCGCGTCTCGCACGCGATTCCGTTTTGATCCCCTCGGACGCATGCGAACGATCATGCCAGCCGAGGTTCCCTACGGTTTTTCCGCGCCCGGGTTTCGTCGCGAACGCTGCCAATCGATTTTCCGCGGATCTGCTGGGTCGTCGTGCAAACATCGCACTTGGATTTTAATCGAATTTTTTTCTTCTTTAAGCGAAAAATGTCAAAGTCGCGCTTCAAGCCTAATCACTTTTTGGTTCGCGACTGAACGTAAAGATCACAATTGGGTCCGACGGCTACGCTACCGAAAGTAAATCCAGGATTACAAATCGAAACAAAGATAAGCCTATTACGAGTCAACAAAATAATTACATAGTACGCAAAAGAACGCTGACATTTTCCAGATCGTCAGCCATGAACGTAACAAAATTATCCCCGCAACATGAAAAGCGATTATCTTTTTCTGGCTTTCTCTTCCGCGAATAAAGAACACGAAAAATGCTTCAAAAATCAATGTACGTATATACAAGCAAACAGTCGACGCACGGTATCGATAGATCGTTGGCTCGCGAGATTTAATTAATACCGATGCGCCACATTCGCACCCCCTGCCCCCCGTCGCAGCGACAAACCGGGTCCCGGGAGATCTTTTTTTCAAAAGAAAAAACTCTGAAAACAAAACCGAAACATGAACACCGCAATAACGAAACGAACTTGGAGCTCGTCAACATAGAATTCTAGGTAAAAAGAAAAAAAGAACAAATTAACAATTCTCGGACCCGGCGGCAGCTGTACACGCTTTTCCCAGGTGCCTTCCGTTTTTCCGTTTTCGAAAACCGTGCCCTGTTCGCGTTCGCGGGAGACCAACTGTCGAAAATACGAGCCCGCTGTCCAGAGTTCACTGCGAGGACCCGCCCCCCGTCTACAGCGATTCTCGAGCGTCGCACACACGCGTGCAACCCTGCACGCTACGCTATTTTCACCCGCTCTTATTCCCTCGCTTCGATCTACTTTGCCATTGCGTCGTCGAGACATCGTTTGCAATTACGGCGCGCAAGTGAATCGTTACGCGGGCGGTGGGTCGAGGGTGGTCGGAGGGAGGGAAATGTGAACGTACAGCTCGTCTGTGGACACGCGTGCTCGGAGCTTAATCGTTACTTTACGTACACGGGAATATTTATCGCTAACAGTACTTTTTAGTTTAGGTAATTAGCGGTACAGTATTTAATATGAATCCTATCGGTTCTTTTTCTTTCTTCTTTTTTTTTTCGTCCGACTACGCTCCTCCGCCCCATTTTTGTCTCTCGACCCCCGTAGAATTCCCCTTAAAACGACGCTATCTCGCGCTTGGATTACGGACGTGTCTATTTCCACGTGGTTTCGATTCTCTTTATCTTTTTCTTTCCTTTTTTCCTTTCGTCGACCTCCCCCGTATCTGGTACAGTCGCGCGATAATCGAGCTAAAAACATCCCCTATGTTTCGTCGCAAGGTAACAAAGTCTTATCTATGCGTTTATTAATTTGTCTCGACACCTTCCTCTCTCTAGGGCCTCCAGCGATCGTTCGTTCTCACCGAAGAGAACCCTTACGTACGAGGTCGCGCGTATCCTAAATTCTTAGCAGGCTACTATCAAAATCGTTTTTTGTTTCTTTGTCCTTAGAGCGCGCGGTACAACAGATTCATTTTTTCCTCGTTTTTTGTTCATATATATATATATATATATTCTATGTTCATGTATATATATATATTTATTTATTTATTTGTTTTTCTTTTATTCTCATATATAATATAGTCGTTTACTTCTATATATCGTGCTGTATTGTGTACACTATGATTTTACAATCTGGTAAATATATAGTCACTGGACGATTCGTACAACGGATTCCCCGCCTTCGTGGAAAACTAAACGACTCCCCAACTATTTTTTTCTCTCGCTCTCTCTCTTTTTGTTTCTTTTTCTTTCTCTATTTCTCTTCCTCTCTCTTCCTCTATGACTATGTCTCTTGGTTCGAGTTACGTATATGTTTCTGCAAATGTTTCGTTGATTCGTCACCCCTCCACCCATCGGCCCCTCGCTCGAAAAAGGATAGTAATTCCTCGCGATCCTCGCCGATAAAACTTAACGACTCGCGTTCGAAGGATTGTTAAAACTAAAATGGAGTTGCCGGAACGAAAGGAAATAAGAACGTACGCAGGGAAAAACGCGCGCGCGCGCGCGCGGGCGCGATTTTAGCAAGCAGCGGATCGCTCGAGACAGGAACATTAAATCATCGAGGCGATCCCCGGGCGTAGAAGCTTTCGGGAATCGATCGATTTCCGCGGAACCGAGCGAATTCCTCTCGTGATACTCGATTGTCGAACGATGTGTCGAGAATGTCTCGAGAATCGCCGAGAAACGGGTCGGAATGCCTTGTACGAATCGCATCGACGGACAGGAGACCCAAAAATAATTAGGCATCGATCTCTATAAATCCCGAATATGCGTTTCCTTCTTCTTTCTTCCTCTCTTTCGCTCTCTTTCTCTCGTCTCGTTCTCGCGCGGCTGGCTTCGTCTCCCTTTATCCGCGTCTAAATCGAGTTCTACCGTAAGTATTAGCAACAACGGCCTCTATATCTATGGAAAAAGGTCTACCCTGACACCAAATTACGTATTTAATGTACTAAGAGTGAGATACTCGTCCGGTGATGTGTCGTCGTCCGTGTGCGAGAGCCTGCGTGCGCTTTTCCTCTTCCTTCTCTCTCTCTCTCTCTCTTTCTCTCCCTCTCTCTCTATCTCACTTTCTCTCAAGCACTGTCCAGACCCCCGATTTCTTCCCTCTTCTCGGATACGTCCTTTACCATCGTCCAGCTGGCACGAAACAATGGAACAAGATACCAAAGAGTAGGAGAAACGAAAAAATTCGATTGGAAGTTAGGGGTTGGCTTAACTCGGAGTTGAAACCACCGACACTGGGGTGGGCTTGACCGACAACAATTTCAACTTGTGAACACCTTCAGAAGACTGTCGCGAATACGTTTGCCACGATAATTTTCATCCGAAGACGATACATTTCGTGTAATTGAGGTAACAAGTACCGGTACTTCAATTGTCTTCGACGATTAAGTCTGGCTCGAAAAGTTACCGTCTCTCTGTACGTTTTTTCCGTCAGCTCGCATAACGACGACAGTCCTAACGACGTTTCCCGAATTATAACCACGATATTCAACGTTCAAAAATATTACTACGAATTGCAATTATAAATCATCTCCGCGGAAAATTCAACAAAAAAACGAAAACAATCCGCGGCACCCTTGCGACATCAATTAATTTCTGAATGAATGTCGCGAACTTCGTCAATGAATGTTTTTGTGTCGTTCGAAATGAATACGTACTTCTTTTTTGTTTCTTCCGGTAAACTCTGAAAGCAAACGTAAAAATCCGTGTCGACGGTTTCAACGTCCGCGACTTCCAGTCAAGCAGCGAACGAACGCGATAATAAACGAAATTAACAGAGGAAACAATGAAACGAACCCCACCGCGAATCAATCGAGCAACGTTCGGAACAAAAAAAGGAGGGAGGGGGGAAAGAGGAAACAAAACTGCGCGAGGAAACGAAGTTTCTCTGGAGAACCTCGGGTGCCGAGCACCTCGGCGACGATCCCTGGATCGCGGCGGAGGGCGCGGTTCCACCCGACGACGTCTCGATAAATTATCTTAGACAATATGGAAAACGTGCTGCTCCCTATACAAGTGGCCTTGTATCGGTGAAAGCCTTTTGGCGATACCTGGCGCGATATCTTCTGAGATCGAACTGAAGCGACAAACGAATGCAGCCTACCCGAACCGACTGTGCCGTCTGTCAATGATCGACGATTCCTGAGCTCGTCGTGTCGAGCAGGTCACTGGTCTTTGTTTTCTTGATTTCCTCGCGATCCGAGAGAATCGTTCTCGCGCGAACGAGTTGGGGGCGACAGTATTCCCTCGCTGATTGGTGCTGCAGCGATTGGCAGCCGACTCAAATGTTAACAATGCTCGCGACGTAACAATTTCGTGAAACGAAAGGGCAGACAAATCTTTGAAACTTAAAGGACACTTACAACTCGATAACATAAACGATTACTTCTTGGCACGCTCAACAACTAAATACATTTTTATCTCAACTCCGTCGTGGCAGATGTTTAAAGAAACTGTCGTTCATAGACGCCCGATGGATCTTCCAGCGAGGGAATACCGTGCCCCGGTCCCGAGCAGCGCTCGCGAATCGACGTCGCCGGCCCCCAGACCCTGCGAATTTTTCGTTCCGCCTTATAAAAAAATAAATTTCTCTATTTGAACCCCTGATCTACTGGATCGGGCCGGAGATGGGCACGAATTTCACCCGGCCGCGAGACCACGGATAAAAATCTAACGCTAAAAACACGATACAACACAACGTTCCGACGATTAAAAGTCTATCTAAAAGAATCCTCGTGCCACGAGAACGATCTTCCGATACGATAACCAACGAATCACCAACCGGTTCCGATCAAATTCTGCCCATCTCCGACCGTGAGTCCCAAACTACGGTGAAGACCGAGACCAAAGCTGCGAACGGGGCCAGCGTTCCTATCGATCCTCGATCGCCGGCTCGATCCGGATTTGAACGAGCCGAAGGGAAACCAGGGAAACCGAACGAGGGAGAACTGTAAGCCCCGATCTCGCGCAGGGTCGGAACGCGCAAAACGATCCTTGCGTCAGCGCGTTCTCCGACGCGCGCGTCAGAACGCCGCGGATATTCCCCGGGAGCGACGTTCATTCGCCTAATTGCAACGCGGAGTCACGGAGAGGTAACCGCCGAGTGTAAACCACGGCTAATTAACTCTGTAAAAGGGGAGCTCGGCGAATGGCATCGATTTGTACCACGAAATTCCTCGCGCGCGAAACAACTCGGCCGCCGATCGGAGCTCAAGCGTGTTCCCCGCGATAACCGACTGCCCGGCAAGGTATGCGCCTCGTTCCCAGGCTTCTTCACCGAGAATTTTAAACTCCCTCGAATCTGATTTTTGCTTGAGGTTCTCCGAGGAACACGCCTGGAGATCGTTCGATCCGCGAGTTTCAGGAAGATCGACAAGATTGGAGGTTGTTCGATGGATCGGGGATGCTGTGGAGTCTATTATCAGCCGGATGTTTTAGGGTATTTGACAAGATTTAACCATGTTCGATGGACTTGGGACGGTTCAGAAGTGTCAAGTTTGACAGAGAAGCGCACCTTCAAACTCGCAACGATCGTTTACAAATAGCAATCGAACTAATTGTTGGATGAAGCGGGATCAAACCTGGAGATTGTTTGAACTCGCAGAATCTTTTCCAAATAATGGATCAAACATGGAGATCGTTTTATCAGCGAGTTTCAAGGAGTTCGACAAGATCGAAACACGTTTGATCGATTAAAGTGTAGAGACTGTTATCGATCACTTGTTTCAGGGTATTTAATGAGGTTGGATTACGTTTCAAGGATTAGGGATGTTTCAGAGGCTTTCGTCAGCAGGATCACGACTGAAGGATATTGAGGGATGGTTCGGAACTCGGTCCCCCCCGGATGATTCGATTGCAATTAGACGAATCGTCTCCCTGTTCCCTCGGCCCTCGGCGCTCGTCCTTTCCTCCGTCCGCGTCGGTACGAACTGATCGCCGCAAACTGGCGACGACAGGGCGGCGCGTTCCTGCTCGTCGGCTCGTCGGCTGTTTCCTAAAACTAATTTCTAGGTCGCGTCCGGGTCGCGATCGTCGGCTTCTCTCCTCTGAATCGTGCTCGTGTTGTCCTCTCGTGTGTTGTGGCAGTTTATCGTCCGCGGCGACCGAATGCACGCTCGTTCCCGTTCTCTCCTCCCGCGGCGATCGCTCGAGCGCACCGCCCGATTAACACTATACATTTTTATACGTTTCTAGGAATCAGTCGCAGGCTAGGTCCTCCTTTGGCCCAGCCAAAATAAGTACGTACGTAGTTTTCGAGGGTGTGCTTCGCATCTTCTCTCTACGCCTCGCGTTCCTCCGCGCGTCCGCCTCCTCCTCTCTAAACCGTCTACGATTTTCGTGTATCATCCTCGTCGTTCTCTCTCTCTCTCTCTCTCTCTCTCTCTGCCCTCGCGCGCCCGGCAGAAGAGCGTGTGTGCTTCGCGTGTCTCCTCGAGTGTATGGCGCGAATGTGTGCGTGAGTGTGTACGTGGCGTGTTCGTGTGCGTGTGTCGTAGGTGTTGGTCGCGATCCGTTCGTTCCTTTCTTCGTTCGAAAAAGCAAAAGAGACACAGACGACCGATATCGAGCATCGTCGCGCGCTCTCGCGCGCGCGCGAGCGCCCACTCTTCCTTCCAGCTTCGCCCCCGTGTTCGCTCCCGTTCTCGGATTCACCGAACCGGAGGAGCAGTCCACCGAGTCTTTCCTCCCTCTCCTCCCGCGGCCCCTCCCGGTATAAAAAAGAAACGGAGAACAGAGAAGATCACACGGGCAAGGCCTCCCACGCGAACACCGTTCCTCGTTCCGAGACCGCATCGTCCTCGCGCGCTCCGATCCCGAAACAGAAGAGAAGAGGAGAGAAGTCCTCGTCCTCGTCCCCGTTCCCGTCCTCGTCCTCCCGGCTGGCTGTCGATGTCTGCGCGTCGAAACCGCTGCGTCCAGTCTCTTGTTTCTTCTTTAAAAGAAAGACAACCGGCCCAGCAAAGTATCCTATGTGGGCACCTTACTGACCGCCTTCAGCAGATCGCTCTGCGTCTTGTCCAGCCCGCTGACGTGGTGCGGTTGCTGGTGCTGCAGCGCCGCGTTCTGCTGCTCCTGCTGCATCTTCGCCTGCTTCTCCGCCTGCTGCTTCTTCATCATGTCCTGCTCCTCCCGCTCCCGCCTCGCCTGCTCGTTGATCTCCTTCACCGCCCTGAGCTCCTTCTTCAGCTTCATCCGCCGGTTCTGGAACCAGATCTTGATCTGCCGTTCGGTGAGGCACAGGGCGTGCGCGATCTCTATTCGCCGCCGTCGCGTCAGGTAGTGGTTGAAATGGAACTCCTTCTCCAGCTCCAGGGTCTGGAACCGGGTGTAGGTCTGCCGGCCCCGACGCCTCGGACACCCGTTCGGCCCTGGAAACGTCAGAAACGCAGATTTGCCTAGGTTAGTTTTTTCATGCTGGACCGGACATCACGTTCAACCCTTTGCACTACCACAGTCAATTCAGGGCCGACTCGATCAATCGACTTTAGTGAAATTCGCGGAGAAACAGTACGATCGTGATACTTCTTTTTCCTTTTTGTTTTTTTTTTCGAATTGTTACGGAGCATATTCTCGTAACGCTGGCAAATGGACAGACAGACGGCGCACAGTCGCTGACGAGAACATTGTGGGAGAACTTGACTGTTTACTTACCGAGTAAGCGTGCAAGGAGTGCAAAGGGTTGCCTGACCGGATGCTAATTAGCGCGTGCACGAAACCAATGAGAACCGGTCGCGATGTTGAAGACGAGCCAACCGATGCCAGATCATATCTTCTCTCTATCTCTGGCACTTTCGGAACGGCTTCTCGGAAGCGGTGTAACTATTGATGCTCTCTCTATATCACGAATATTCAATCATCCTGGAGAGAGCCTAACTTCGAGTGAGGCCTAAGCTGATTAAACGGGATCACGGCGGAGCCGTGACGATCAACTATTTAGGCCTCGATTATTCGTGCGATCGATCTGTTAACCGAACGCGATCGCGATGCATTGTTTAAAATTGCTTCGGCGGGTTGCGCCGAAGGATTTTAACCTTGCTTAACGCTGTCGCGTTCTTATTTATGGATTCGAGGAAAGTTAGGATATTTTAACGCTAAATCGAGCGCTAAAAATATCTGACGTTGGTTGCTTTGTAAGAATTATAAAACTATGTTTGACGACTTGCTATTTTTATTGTATTGTGTGCTTGAATTAAGAAATTTATTAAATCATTCCCTACGAAAGACCGCTTGGAATTTCAACAATTTCAAAATGAGGAATGTGTTTTCGATTACGTGCCTTTACCGAGGAACGCGAAGAGCGTTCGATGGAGTGCGAATCACTGTACATTGTTTGCTTTGATAGTTAGACTGCGGATTTTCATGCGAAATCAAAATTGTCCGTGATAATGAAAAGAAACATAAGCTAGATGAAAATGTCTTTCCTGTTTTAATCGTTTCAATCAGTTCTATATAATATACAAATATGCTCAATATTCTCCTCTAAGTCTTTACAGTGTTGTTTTCGGCTTAGTAATTTTTGTCAAAAATCGATAAAGTTCGCAATCCACTGACAACATTTCAATGCAATTCAAATATTGCATACTTTCTTAAAGCATCTCCCGATCATATTTTTCACGCTTATAATCAATGAATCCCGCATCCCTCATTTCCGTCGTACGATATATAAATTAGACGTGCTAATGCAATAAAATCGAAATCGACATTATCTCGAGTTTCGATCGAAGCGGCGGGCCGATTAGCCGGCGAATTAAAGTTTCACGCGCTGATAAATTGCGGCCGTCACGAAGCCGTTGAATTATTCGCGGCCGAGTAGAGGCGGGCTGCGGCAGGCCGGTAAAAAACGCCGAAAACCCTTTGGAAATTCGTGAAATAATTTATGGCCGCCGTCAGTATCGGTAAGAAGCGAACGAGTGCCGGTCGCAGCGGCGGAGCTGTCACGTATTTCAGGTGGCTTCGCAAAACACGAACGCGCGGGACCCGTTCGTGACCGTTTCCGGCGGAGAAAAAGAAGGGTACCCGATCATGGTTGTCGCTCTTCGTTACATAACCGTACAGTTTTTCCGTGTTTCCCGGCGAGCGACCTGCGTGTCGTCCGACACGCCGGTCACAAATCTCAACTCTCTCCTCACTTTCTCTTTTTCCGGGCTAGGTCAACCGAAAAAGAAGAACAGAAGAAAAAAACGAGAAGAAACCGTGTACACAGATGGGTCAGTTTATTGCAGTGGTTGAGGCGACCCCGGGGAAAGAGTAAAACGACGGAGTCAGAGGCAGAGGGGCGGAGGGTGAAAAAAAAGAAAGTTTCCCCGAAATGTCTCGTGGCCTATTGTACGGAAAGTGAACCCTTTCTTGAAATGCCTTTTCCCCCCGGCCAACTTTCTCCGGCAAGAGTCAAAGTCGTAAAACGGGGTACACGCTGCATTTTTTATGGTGTTTAGGTAACTATCGAGCAGCGCCGTGCCGCGCCGAGCCGAGCGCTAACCAGGTAAAAAGTTCTGCTTGTCATCTGGCCTTGTACCTGGCGCACCAGCTTTCGGACCTGTCGTAAAGCTTGCCCGAGACGGAATTCCGCGACACGTCGAAGCCATTACCGAATAATGCCGGTTTGTTCGACGAATCGATCGCCGCGAGAAACGGCCACGATTTCTCGAGGAATCTGTCGCCGGCTCGATTTCCCCGCCGACAAATACGAGGCTCCGTTCGCTGAACTGTTCAGCTCATATTCATTCCTCGATTTCGGAATTGCGAGACGCATCTTCCGAACAGCCGGACTGTTCAGAGATTGAACTCAACGGTGACCGGGAAGAAATGACCATTTTTTGGTAATCTCGAGTATTCCGTGGCCCAGCGATAAGAAATAAATGCTGTTGGGAAAACGACTGAGAACTCGGAGCAGTTCAGAATGCAACCTTCCCGAACCCGACTAGTTTTTGCGGGATCGAATTAAAAAGACAATTCCACGGTCACCTTCGGACCTCCTTTACGCCTCCACTCGCGGCATAAACACTTTTGCGTTCTTTGCCTGCATCGAGTATCTGTCGGTGGTTCGAACGTGCCAATTTTCTCTAGCAAAACAATTCGTTGAGGCGAATGTGTGGTTATATCCTTCGGAAATAAAAATCATTTTCAGCCGAAGCGAACCCAACGAAGAATGTGTATTGCGAATTGAAACGTCTCGCGAGGACTACCTACGCGACTCCTAGCGACAAGGCTCGCGCATCGACTGGCGAAAAAGGGTGTGAACCCCCCCAGGGCCATTACGACGCCATTACCAATTGTGCTCGCAATCTCCCAGACGCAAACAGTAATAAAATTAAATAACCGCGTCGACAAAAGTCACCGTTCCCGGCGCTGCGCTCCGGTCCGCGGTTCAGGAACGATTTAAAATGGCACCTCGGCCATTCACGAGCCGCCGAGCAACGAAACAGGGCGTCTGCGGCTCGTAACGGGGCAACAGAAGAAGCCTTGATAAATTTCTCACGAGCAATTTTCGCAATTGGTCCGAGCGTAATTTCGCTTTTGACCATCGACGCGGAGAAAGGGTTGGGGGGGGGTCGAGAGGGAGACGGAGAAAGAGAGAGAGAGCGAGAGAAAGAAAGAGAGAGGGAAGGGGACTCGTATTTTCGGTTCGTCGTCGAAGGAACCGGTTTCACCGGTGCAATGAGGGGACAGCCATAATACCATCATTCTCACGAAGACGCTGAGTGGCCATATTATTGCCTCGTGATGAAGCAAATACGCGCTACCGACCAATAAAAGATAGCCAGATTTTGTGGTACGCCGCGGTCGAAGGCTCACGCACCGAGCACACGCGTCATTGGGACGTTGTGACGTCGGACAGCCTCGGAAATGGCCAGCCATCTTAACACCGGTGCCTTTGTTCCTCCGACTGACTTCCATCTTAATGGCACTTCGCTCGCGTTCATCTCTTTCGCCAATATTTCTACACTTCGTTGCCGATCTGTGCAGAAAATGTCGGAGTTTCCCGATTCATTAAACAACCGAGGTCATTCATTGAAGCTTGACCGACAGTTCATAAAACGTCCCAACCTGCTCCAAAATCGTTTAACCCTCTCAGTGCCGATCAAACGAGTCGTGTGTACTTAAGCGAAACATATCAAACCCGTCTGACGTAGTTTGATAAAGTTCCGGAAAGGAATTATGACAATTTTGTAAAACCTGAAAATTCGAAAGGGAAGAAGAAATAAAATTATCTATTGAAAATATCAAGAACACAACGGTTCTCAAGCGTAGTCAACGACGAATGTATCGCTGTTCGACACTAAAAGGGTTGAAACTTCGCGGACCAACTTACGCGAGCGACTAAAGAAAATTCAACTAAGCATTCCAAGAGCCACAGTTATCGATAACGTTCCCGGCAACAACCAGCCGCAACTTCTGAAATATTAAGCAATGTTCTCTTGCTCTCCAGCGTCTCGAAAATCTTTCCAAGGTTCATGGCGGAACAAAGTCGGGGATCAGTCAGGATTCTTCGGTTGAAATCCCTGAATCATCCGGCGAATTCTCGGCGAGGTTTTCCCCGAGTTTCCCGCGAACGGCCGTTTCGCGAGCGTCCGGACGTTTCAATAGCGAGCGACGGGGCCATCCGGTGCTCATCATTCAAAACTGAGAAAGACGAGAGCCGAGAGCGGTCCGGGAACAAGAAAGAAAAAAAAAAGGAAACCGAGAAGCCGGGAGGGAATGCCGGGAATGCTGATATTGAATTCAGCATGGCCGTTCGCAGCAGTGCGGTCCAGGATTGAACGGGTGTGCGTGTCCGTTGGCGCTGTGTGCGTGTGCGCGCCGCCTGTTCACGAATCTCTGGGTGAGGTCTCGGCGAGGATGTGTTCGCGGCACATGAACACGTCCCCGGAGAATGTCTGTGCGGGATCTGTGCGCGAGGGAGAGACCGTGAGCGCGGTTTTTCGGGGCTGTGTGCGTGAGTTCGGCTCTCACGTACGCCGGCCCGGTGCAGCCACAGCCACAGGGTGGTTGCTGAACCCCGAAGGGTGGGCCATAGGTTACCCTGGCAACCGGAGGGAAAACCATTCCATCCTGCTGCCGGCACATCACGCCAGGGGCGAGTCAAGCAGTCAGAGAACCCTCCTGCATCCTCATCCTCATCCTCATCTCTCCCTCTCTCTCTGTCTCTTTCGCTCTCTCTCTCTCTCTGTCTCTCTCGCTCTCTCTCACTCTCTCATCCTCGGTCTCTCATTCGCCGTCTCTCTCCTTCGCCACCAAGCAACCCCACAGCCGTTCTTCACCGAGTTCGCTGCTCTTCGAGCACCCGACCAACCTGATTGTCCCCGCACTTCAACCGCCATAAATATCCGCGAGACCATCGACCAAGTGCTGGCGCGAGCATTATCAACTATTCTGCCGGATCCGGCTAATGTCC